CTTTGTCTTTTCCTGTTTTGATTGCAAGCGGGCCTATTGCGGGAAGTGATTCTCCTGATCAGGAAGGAGTCTCTGAACAGTGATGTCTTATTGAGATGTGGCCCATGACGGCCCTGGAGAAGTCGGAGCAGAGTGGCCCTCGGTGCTCTGGGAGGGAGCCTTTTAATTTAGTAGGGAAGTCTGGTCACGCTTGTTTTAGTCCCTCATGATGAACAAGCAGAGCCACTTTGTATATGCATCCTGGCTTGATGCACAGAACCTAAAATGTCCTTTAAAGATCTCCAGTGGGGCCAGCAGGAGGCATGGTCATTAAGGTGCTGGACTCACATGGCTGACCGTGGTTCGAATCCTGGACCCGATGGTTTGAAACTCATACCAGGTGCAGGTGCATGCATGCCCAAAATCTCAAGAGGAGAATGGAGGAGAAGGGATTACAGTGTGGTCATCCCCTCAGAGAGTGATTTCTTACTTTCTCTTTCTGTTTCTCTAGCGAGTGCTCGCACCCCTATAGCAAAAATCTCTGTGAAAAGAAAAAAAAAATGATTTCTAGGACTTTTAGCTGTTTCTGTCTGTAACACTTTGAACAGGATGACTTGACTCTCATACCCGGAAAACTAGGGAGGAATCCAAGGTGCAGCCACTCGCAGCCCTCCCAGGTCTTACAGCCACTTTATTCTCAGCACTAACGCACCTCCTATGAGCTTTTTGAACCCTCGTGCTTTCGTCAGGAAGGTGGGAGCACCCCCCCAGTGTATAGATGAGGAAATTTAGACTCAATGAGCCTAAAGAACTTGGGAGCTATTCATGGATCCACTACGTGGCAGCTGCAGAATCGTCATGACCACGATGAAGCGAACATTTATTTAAATTGCAACCTTCCAAACCTATTCAAGAGCGCCCGCCTGTAGGGCCTGGAAATGCATTCATGGCAAGTGTGTGTTTTGAGATTAAGAGGAGGGAATAGCCTGCTGATGGCTCGTTGCACAGCCAAAAAATTTGTATGGAATAAGCTCTTGGGTGGTGTTTTTTGTAAATAAGAAAGCTGTCGCACGAGCAGAGGTCATCACTTTGGCAGTTGCTATGAATAGGGGGGTCCTTGCTAAGCAAAGCAAGTTTTTCTCTATTACTAGTACAGCAGGAGTCACCATCAGACCAGAGCAGTGGAGTAGAAATGGCAATTAAATTCGCTATCAATCACACCTCTCAAGAACCCTTGATGTTTCATCAAACTTTTTTTTTTTTAATGAATTCTTGCTTAATCTAGTGATTTTCCCTGTTGAAGGTGGGATGTAAGGGACGCAGCGCAGTAAACCTGTGAGTGCCCTGTCTCTAAGCAGCATTTTCTAAAGCTGGTCTCTGGCTCTTTCTCTGTCACTTTTTTTTTTTTTTCTTAACTCTTTTTGTGGAAGTGCCTTGGATGAGGGTTGACTTATTGTCTATTTTTCTTATTTTGTTGTTCGCTTATTTGTGAGTTCCAGTTCAGTTCCAGGTCAGATATGTCTACTAATTGCGAGCTATGTTACAAGACTTTCTAGTGTGCATCCTTTTTATTTTATTTTATTTTTTGTAGTTTTTCTGTTGTAGGGTGCTCGTGCTTGCCAAAGACAGAAGGAAAGAGAGATCGCCCCCCCACCCCCAGAGAATGGTCACCCCTCACTCTCTTTGTCAAGAGGGCAAGATGGAAGTCCGGGCCTCCCCATCACAGGGGAGAGTTGAACGACAAGGAGACCAGCTGCGCATGGGTGAACAGATGCAGATCCTCCCGTTGACAGGATGGGCCAGTGCCAAGGGAGGCGAGCTGGCCCCTCTCTTTCCCAAGGCCTCCTATCCTGTTTCGGACCCTTCGTTCATCTAACGTCTGCATCCTTAGACCACCACTGACTTGTTCATTTTTCTTTTCGCTTGTTTCTCACTCTTATATCTTGTAGGCTCATGCTGTGGGAATTGTGTTGAGTCAAAACACAGATGGCCGTATAGTCTCCCCTTAAAGCTTCGTGCGCTCGGGGCTAGTTTCCTGACTTGTATCTGCCTAACCAAGGTCGTCCTTCCTAACAGCTCCCAACCCCTTCTCCTCCATTCGCCCCTTGGGACTTTGGGCATACACACACATGCACCCAGTGTGATTTCCAAGCTGCCGGGTCTAGGCCTCAAACCTCCATCAGCCATGTGGGTGACTGAGTGCAATGCCTTCTCCCTCATGCCACTGAGAGGGAAGCACTTTTAAAAGGGAAATTCATGCCCTGCTTTTCGACAGAAAAGGGGATAGCAAAGTGTTCCTTTTACAGCTGTGGATTTTCATTTGCCTTCAGCTCAAAATACTCCATGTGCCAAAGTGACATAATTTAGGGTGACATATTTTGAACCCCTGCATTTCCATCTTTCTAATAGCAGGGGGAGAAGTAGTATCTAGTGAATCCTTTTCTCCCCATCTAGGCCTGCTTCCTACAAGTCGTGTCCTAAAATCCCTACCTGTGGATCAATGTTCATCACAGAATCATTGCAAATAGGAGTCCTTAACAGTGACAGACATTGCCAAATATGACACCCAACTGTATTTTAAATCTCCCCTAAGTTCTTAGAGGTTTTTTTTAAAAATGTTGTGACTATAGTGTAAGCCGTTCTCACATATCTTTTGGGATTTATAGGCGGATTTAAACAGTGGTAGAGGCGGGAGCTAGAGCTTAGAATGCAGTCAGACTTGAGGGAAGGTGGAAGGATGGCTAGCCTACCTCGGTGAGGATTTCAGCAAAAGGTGGAGAGTGGGGTCTCTCCCAACTCCCCATATCTGTCTTCCCCACAGTTACCGGGGTTTGCAGTCGTCATCCCTGAGCATTGCCTCACCAGAGACTGGCTTTGGTAACTGCTTCCGTGCATATCAGTTGGGGTTGGGGATCAACTTGTCTCCCTACAAAGACAGGTGTTTCCTGAATGGAGACTTCGTGTTCTCCTGGCCTTGAATATCTCAGCTATATTTTCATCAAGTCTGTTTGTCTCCCTTCCCCATCACAATTTGTGTGTGTGTGTGTTGTTTTTGCTTTTTGCCATAGGGCAAGTGTGTTTGCCAGAGAGAAACAGAGAGAGGGAAAGTGAGAAATCACCCCCTAGGATTGTGGCCATGCTTCAGTCCCTTCTCCTCCATTCTCCTCTGGGGATGTTGGGCACACATGCACACATACCCAGCGTGCTTTTTAAGCCACCAGGTCCAGGACTTGAACTGCAGTGGGCCACGTGGGAGTTCAGTGCCTTTACCACCGCTCCACCTGTTGCCCTCAATCACAATGTTAATAGATAAACTCCTGGCTAGAAAAAATGACTTAAATATCTGGGTTCTGCAGTGCATTGCCACTCTATTCAGCATTCCGCTATTATCAAAATGAAAATGTCAACCTTTAATGTGAGATCTGAATGGCTAGATCTGAATATTTAAAAGAAGCTTCTTTTGAAACCTTTTAAGGTTTGGCTTTTTGTCTTACCCCCTGCCCTGGAGAGCTGGAGGAGACCATCTCTCGGTTTTGTCTTCCTTCCCAGTGTGAGGCTTTCTCTTCATCTCCTGTACACAGGAACTGCTGTTCGAAACTGATGGTCACAGAGTCCTTCTCCAGAACGCGGGGACAAGCGCTCTGTAGGGCTGATAAATTATGAGCAGGCGTCGCGTGCTGGCTTGATGGATTCTGAGAGAGAATGCGTGTGAGTCATGGGTGTTATTTTTGGTCCAAAGAATTGTGTGAACTTTTCTCCTCTATTTTGAGGCTTTGAAACGTATGACTTTTTTTCTTTTCTTTTTTTGTTCTTTGAGGTGTATGTCAAGGAATTAGGCACCATATCAGAATAGTCATTTTCTAGTTTTCAGCGTTATTGTTTTGGAGTTGAGGAGGTGGAAGGTCTGAATAGAAAAGATGTGTGTGTTGACAAGTAATCCAACCTGTGAAATGTAAGAGAAAATTACAGTCACTTGCTTGAAAGCAGTGGCCCCTCTGCAACCCAGGCATGCCCCAGGGGTCGTGTGGGAAACAAGGGTAGATTTGCTGTGAACTGGGGGTGGAGGCATGGTGGTATTTTTTTTTTCCTGGATTTTTTTCCTTTTTTGCATTTTATCACTGTACATCTTCACAGCATAGAATAGGAACCTCCTCAGCATGGATACACTGCATATCAGTCTGGTCAGCGTCCCTGCCGTACACGTCATCATCAGCAGATCATTTTCCATCTTTGTGTCTGTTCAATATTTTGCTTTTTTTCCCCCTCGATTCCCTCTCACTGGCCCCGGCATTGTGTTTTTGTTTTGGTTTTTGCTAAGGACATGTGCGCTCACCAGAGACACAGAGTGAGACAGAGAGACAGAAGGTGAGAGATCACCTTATCTCCCTAGGGGGGATGAGCACGCCGCAATCATCTCTCCCCCACTCTCCTTTTGGGATTTGGGGCACACATGCACATGTGCCTGGCATGAGTTTTGATCTGTTCAGTCCAGGACTCGAACCACGGTTGACTACATGGGAGTCCAGTGACATAGCCATTACACCGTCTGCTGGTCCCTGGCATTGCGGTTCTCACTGACCGTTGTTTTGTGTATTTTGGTAGATTCTGGACAGTGGGCTGGGGTCATTAATGTTGGGTAATCACAGTGCAGGGTCTATAACTCGCTGTTTCCCGAAGCAGCCTGCCCTTGTCCAGGGGTCGGGAATCCCTAACTAAGATATTTAGTGATGAAATCTTTTTGTAAAAAAAATTTGTAATCGGATATGACTAGTTCCTTTATTACTTGTCTGAGTGCCCTCGGCGAGCCATTCCGGGGACAAAGAGCATCCCCAGATCGAGGTCCATGGCCAACTTCGTTTTCCTCCATCCCCTCGTCCTGGTACACCCGCTGAATTCATTCCTCCAATGGCTCTCTGGGGTTCAGCTGGGCTCGGACACCAGCATCAAGAAGCTAAATAAAAGCCCGCATTTACCCACTGCTCTGTCGCTGAGTACATTTTATGATGTGTTGATCTTTCCAGGCTAACCTTGCGCAACTCTTGAGAGATTCTCAGGACCGAAATAAGCAAATGGGAGAAGAAATCAAAGAGCTTCAGCAAAGGCTTGGAGAAGTCCAGGGTGATAATAAGGTACCGTGAATACTTCCAGGTGAGAACGCTCTGCAGCGTCCTCGGGCACCACAGGGCTTATGCATCCGACAAAAATGCAATGCAGCATGCGTCGAAAAACTTGTGATAGATTTTTACATTCGCGATGGAAATCCGGGTTGGCATTCCTTATCTTTATTACCTTCCCTTTGTGTGCACGCGCGCACGCCTCTGTGTGTGTTTCGGGGTTGTTCTGTAATCTCGTCACAGCCCATTGTAGAAGTTTTATTATGTTCAGCTTGGTGGTGAATACGCTGTGCTGGAGCACAGAATAAAACCCGGACGCTACACATTCCCCCTTCCATACAAATAATGGATTTGTGGTTCAGATGATTTGGAATCATTCGCATTCGGTTTTGAATTTTAAGTAGTCATCCTACTAATTATGTTCACATAACCAATTTATTTTATTGCTAAATTTGGCAATTTGTATGGAACATTGCTCAAAATCCACCGCTCGGTATTAATCAAACTCCCCTGTTGGCAACGTTAATTATAAAATATGAACTCATAAACTCCAAACCCAATGTGCAGGCTCCCTCTCTCCCAGCTGAAGCGACGGGCAGAAGAACCACTGAGCCAGGAAGGGAAAGCTACCGGACTGCCATTCCGTCCCCCAATCATTTCCCATTTTAGGACCGATCCGTTTTCAGCTCCTTGCTGGAGGCAGGTCTTGCAGGAGAGATGGCTCTGGAGTTTCACTGGAGACGCTCACATGGAGCCTGTGTGGTGAGGGCCTTCGTAGGGAAGTGCTTTCTGTGTGTCACCAAGCCCCTTGACAAATGTGGGCGACAGTCCTCACTGCCGGGAGTTGCTGCTCACTGACTGCATTCTAAGCTTGGGCAATCCGTAAAGGCCCGACCTTCTTGGTCGCTTCCTTAAGCGGTATCAGGAGGCGAGGTTTTCTAGAGAGTCAAGTGTGCGCTGCGATGTTCTTTGCGCCCGGGACCGTCCTGGGGACGGTCGGAGATGTAAGAAACCACGAGATACTGCAACAGTTCCAAGATGCGATTTTCTCATTCGTGGCTCTTCCTGACCGTTTCGTTTTTCTATTGTATTCCCCGCCCTCCCCTTTTTTTCCTGAGCATCCCTAAAAGCCCTTCTTCCTCATTTTTTGGTCACTTTTCATTATTTTGCTTTTTAGGCATGAGAAATTTTAGGAATTGATGTTTACAACTGGTATTTTAAGGAGAGGAAGGGGAGGGTGCATGTGTGTATTATACGTGTGTTTACACACACACCTGTGTGCATATGTGTTTTTATATGAGTACCCGTGTGTTTGTATGCACATGTGTGCATGTGTGTTTGTAAGCATGTCTGTGCATGCATGTGTTTAAGTGCATGTCTCTGTGTATACATATGTACACCTCTGTGTGCATGTTTTATATGCATGTCCGTGCATGTTCATATGCATGTCTCTATGTATATGCATGCCTGTATGCATGCGTGTTTATATGCATGTCAGTGTGTTTACATGCACATCTGTGTGTGTTTATATGCATGTCTGTTCATATGCCTATCTCTGTGTGTGTATGCACATCGGTGTGCACATGTGTGTATATACATGCCTCTGTGTGCGTGTGTGTGTGCATGTTCTGTGTATGTGCATGTTCTCTGTGTGTGTGCATGTTCTGTGTGCGTGTGCATTCATAGACGCATCTCTGTGTGTGTATGCTCATGCACCTGTACCACGCTAGCACGGGTTTGGACTCCCTTTGTGCATCACGTCTGAACTCACGGTCCGCCTGCACTCCAGGCCTTGCGCCAGTAGGCTGACACGTGTTCACATCCAGGCTTCAGAACCCAGTGACTCATACCCACGGCCTGTGAAGAAGCTTGTCCTCCAAAGGGTGGGGTGGGGTTACTGTGTGCTCAGCCAGCCCCCGTCTCAGTGTCTGGCCTCTTCCCCTCAAAGAAGGGCCAAGTGCAGCCATCCCACTGGCTCTCGTCTGCATCTGCAGTCAGGGCTGGTTTATTTTCAGGCCCCGTGAGGCCTGCCCTCCCCCTGCGCCGCCCCCAGCCCCCCACACCCACACGGAGGCCAGATTACTCACGGGGGTGACACCAGGCTTCCTGAGCCTCATTCCAGGGTGCTGTGACTGTGTGGTGGGGACGGGCTCACCCATTAGGGCTCGTGCTCTCCTCACCCTGGAACTCGCCGTCCCAACCTCCGTCAGTCTCCAGTCCTGCCTCTGCGTCTGACTTTCCGAAATGCCCTTCTGTCTCGATTTCAGTCACTTTTCATTATTTTGCCTTTTAGGCATGAGAAATTTTAGGAACCGACGTTTACAGCTGATATTTTAAGGAAGCCTGGGCAGGGCCTCTGAGATCTGTCCCAACCTCGTCCCTTCCCCTCACCCTGAGCCCCACGGTGCTAACTTCACCCTTTCTGTGTTGCTTTGCCTTGGGCCTCGAGACCTTGGCACCTGCTGTCCGCTCCGCCTGGACTTGCTGCTCGTCTTCCCACCTTAGGTCAGGGTAGCCGCGCTCAGCTGTCTGTCAGGGGCCGAGCCTGTGCACACCCGCAGCGCCCTCCCCTGGCCCTGCCTGCTCTGTGCGACCCCTCCAGCCCCAAGGATGAGCTCTTTGCAGGCCACATTCCCACCGTGGACGCTGCTGTGTCCCAAGGAATTTTCATTCTTAGTTCCTGATACCTACACATTATAAATCTTTATTGAAGGATGGAGTGGAATAAATGAATGAGTGAATGAATAAAATGAATTAAGGGAATGAAAAGAAGAGCAACAAGTTTCAAGAAAGAGAAAAAGGAAAAAAAAAATCCAGGAAGCCAGACCGACTGCTGGTCTGGGTGTCCCAGGATCCCCCGGTGGAGTGAGGAATGGCTTAGGCGTTCGGAGGAAGGAGCTGGCAAACCAAACCGTACCAACAGGGGAAAATAATCAGGGAGGCCTTGGGAAGGCCCTGTGGGGAGAGCAGAGGGTCCGGTGTGAGCCTCAGTGGAGAATGGTTAAGCGGCCTGTTCGCTGGCTGCTCTGCCTGTTACACTAAGAGCACCCAGTAAGTGTTGGGGGCTGGACTCCTGACTCTGCAGGAAGAAAGGGGCTGGTAGACGCCTCAGAGCAGGGGACGTTGATCTGACGAGAATGATTCTGGACAGACCTGTGAGCAGACGTTCTGAGAGCAGAGGAAGGGCCGAGGCCCAGAGGCAGGCTTGAGGTGCATCTGCCGGATGGAAGCAGTGCAGGTGGCCCCAAGACGGCAGGAGGGTGGTTAGAGGGGTCCAGAGACCGCGGGAAGGGGTCGTGCCATGCCTCTTCCTCCCTAGGAAGGACTGCGGCATGTATCAGAGTCCAGGATGAAAAGTCCCTGGAGGGAATCACGTGTGGAAGGAGCGGCCAGCAGGGTGCTCGCTTGGTCCTAACTGGAGCTTGCTCACTGGGAACATCGGTGTTCACACCTCTGCTGTGGGCCCGAGCCCTCCAAAGCCTCAGGGGGGAGAGGGCGAGAACTACCGTTTGTTTTGTTTTACACAATGTTGCACATCCTCCTGTTTAAAGCTACAGCTGGAGTGTCCCATCTAAGTCCAAGAATTTGGACTTCAATGAGCGACCCACTTGCAACCTTTTCCACTGTCCGGTTTCATGGAGGGTATTATCGAAAGGTTGGGAGATGGGGGGGCAGGTGGGGAGGATGTGGAGAAAGCCGACAGGAAAAGCAGGAAGCCACGAAGGCTCTGTCTGTGAAGTTGCCCAGCACAGCCCTGCCCGAGTGAACGTGGAGTAAACACACCTGGCTCTGACCTCTCCCCTGTGCTAGCCACAAACACACCAGGACCAGGACGAGCAAGGCCTAGCGTCTTCCTGTTAGCGACTCTTTCACCTGACCCTCCCAGTGGCCCTGGCGGGCAGAGAGCCGCCGTGTAAGAGCGGCAGTCCCGCCAAGGGTAAGCGGCTCGCGCCTTCAAAGCTAGAGAGAGGAGCGTGTGCAGAGAGGGTTGTCTCCACACTGTGGGGACAGACCTGGGCACCATACAGGCTGTCACAGTTGCCCTGTCTCCAAGGTAGCTTTTATCCCCATTAAGAAAAACAGACAGTAAAACCAGATGACAAGCCACATGTGGTCCAGGGAAGTTAGACGGCAGGATGGGAGCACGGCCAGCGTCCAGGGAACAGCTGTTCCTGCGTCCGCCTCTCACTGCGTGGGGTAAAATGGATTCAGACAGATGAAAACAAGACGAGGTGGTGATGACGCCTGAGAAGAGGTCTAGGGAGGGGCGGGTCGTCCCGACCTGGGAGGCCTGGACAGGCCTCGTGGAGAGCAGTGCTGAGAGTGGGCGGAAGGGCACCCAGAAACCGCCTCACCACCTCGCTCCGCAGCCCTGTCCCTCAGCCACGTCCCAGCTGCAGCTGCACCTCATCCACAAACGGGCGGCTCGGGCCATAACTCATTCAGAAACGTTTATTTCCGTCTAAGCCAGCCAGTGAAGGCATCTCCGGGAAGCAGCGCGGGCGTGTGCAGGGCATGGGTCCACTGCGTGTTGGCACGGGCAGGCTGGCTGCGGGGTTCCAGCAGCCCTGTCTGAGGGAATTAAGTGCCCCGAGCATTTGCTTCCTGGCCATTTTCCGAGGCGGAAAATCAACCTCCTTTGCCTGCAGTGCACAGATAAGGCCGGCTCTGGACCTCGGCGTCTGCCCGCTGAGAAGAGGGATCTGCCTTCCCCGGTGGGCCTCTGTGTGGGGACACCGCAGAGTGTGAGCAGGAGGAGGAGGAGAGGGGTCGGCATGGTAGGAGCAGCTAACAGTTAGTAAGCACTTTTCATCCTCCAGGGGTCAGGCTCCGGGTCTTAGTGAAGTCTCGTCTCTTCCTGTGAATGAGGTTCTAAAGCCAGCCTCGAAGAAGCACAGAGCCCCCCTTGATGGCCCCTTAAACTATCTGAAAAGTTCAGGGCACACGGTCCCCAGTGCTCCTGGACCGCAGTCTTGTACAGTGATGCGTTTTGCATCTGTGTATTTATTCCTCGCCGCCCTCCCACCTCGCTCTCAGGCTGGGATGCCGAGCGGAGGACTGAGCAGAGTCGCCTACTTTCTTGCAATATGTCTCTTTCGTCCTCTTCTTTTTGCCAAACATCTCTCATTCATACGCTCACTTACAGCCACTCCGCCTCTCACTGCAGACAGCAGACCTCCTAGGAGGCTGTGCTTCTCCTCCTGTGTGTTTACACAGGCGGGTACAGAGGCTCAGAGAAGTCTACACCAGCTCCTAAGGTCACACAGCTTGCAGAATGGGGCCAAGAGACAAGGCCTCCACAGGCCGACTCAGGAGCAGGAGCACCGTCAGCTGAGAAGGCAGGAGAAGGCCCGCCGGGGCTCTGCCCTCCCTGGGCAATGACCTCTGGAGGGCTCTTCGACTGGCTGAACTGGAGTTTCAGACCCAGTTAATGACCCAGCTGTTACCAAGCCGAGCCTCACTTTTAAACCTAAGTGTTGCAGCCAGTCCAGCCCTGAGACCTCACAGCCGATATTGTATGCACATTAAACACCAAATGATTGTTAACATATTTATTGAAGCTTAACAGGCATCCCGTATATAAAAGATGACTCTCTTAGACGGCTGTCAGACCTCAATAAACATGTTTAATAATTAATTGGCATTAAGCAAACATAATTGTGTGATTCTAAATTAAGAGTTCAGTGAAGCATGTGGTGAATGGAAAACCACAGTGGTGTTTTATTACTTAAAGTTCAGGCTGTCAGTCTAGCTTTTCACACACCGAGACAAATACCCTGCTTTCAAAGACGCGTCCCGGGCCTCCCATCGCCTCTTGCCAGAAAGGCACAAGCTCTCTTGTTCCTAGGCCTCGGATCTGAAAAATGTGTCTGGCTTGGCTGGTTATTTGTCTTTCTGTATGCCCACATCCGAGGCGCTGATGTCTGGGGCTAAGAACCGTGCAACATGGAACGCGTTCGCGTCACTTGGCGTTCAGCTGAGTTAGCCAGTTCTGCCGTAAATATGTTCTGCGAAGTCCTGCCCACACTGGATTAGCGAGTCCTGAACCACTGCACTTGGGAGAAGTACAAAATCTGGTCTGGGACCCTCTTGTCACAACAGTCCTGTCTACTGAACAATCCTAACTGAGTTTCACGTGTGCTTAGGTAGGCCGGGTCTAGGTGGTGCAAAGCAAAGGGTTTTGGACGGTGGTGCTGGTGGCCACACGGTCACCTGTGGGTTTGGATTCCCAGCCTGGTGGGCCTGAGATGCACGGAGCACTCACCCACGATCCTGAAAGGCTGGAGTGCTGGGGAAAGAGGATCGTGGCATGGCTCAACCCTGTTAAGAATGCTTTTCTTGGGAACCAGCAGTTAGCGTAATGGCTATGTCGCTGGACTCCCACGTAGTTGACCGTGGTTCGCATCCCGGACCCGGTGGCTTAAAACTCACGCCGGGTGCGTGCGTACCCAAGATCCCGAGAGGAGAATGGAGGAGAAGGGATTGCGGCGTGACCATCCCCCTGGGGGGTGATTTCTCGCTTTCTGTCTCTATGTCTCTCTCTCTCTGTCTGGCGAGCGCACGTGCCTTATAGCGAAAACCTCTCAAAAAAAAAAAAAAAGAGTGCTTTTCTTTTCTTTTTCTCTTTTTCTTTCTCTCTCATGCACATGCTCTGTATCATAAATAATTTTTTAAAAAGTCACTTTATTTAATAGACAAGGGAACTTCAAAAAGCTCACGGAAAATGCACGTTATGAAGAATATGCATGGCTTGTAAAAATTTTGCACCAAGATAAATGTGTACTCTAATTCTGTTTTCTACAGACTTTTTGAAGTCTCCTTGTCTATGGCTGGTTTATTAACACTGAACCCAGGAGCTCAAAAGCATTCTAAGTCGTGCCCAGAGGAAGTTTATTTTCCTCCACGAGGGCACACCACACCCCTGGTGCTCAGGGACACAAGCCAGCCGGACATCTGGGTGGGTCGTTTTAAACAGCAGAGTCACCAACGAAGAGAATAAGTATGTGAAAAATGGGGCACTGAACAGGGAAACGCATGCTTGTGATCAGTCTGAGAGTTGAAGCAAGAAAGCAGAACATGGCCTTGTTCGACCTCCATTGGGAACATGTGTGTCCAACATGCAAATTTTTTAAAGAGAGATTTTTGCTATAAGGCATGTGTGCTCACTAGACAGACAGAGACAGAGAAACAGAAAGCGAGAAACCCTACCCCCAGCGGGGATGGCCACACTGCAATCCCTTCTCTTCCATTCTCTTGGGATCTTGGGCACACACACACATGTGCCTGGTGTGAGTTTTAAGTCACCAGATCCGGGACTTGAACCATGGTTGACTATGTGGGAGTCCAGTGATGTAACCATTACACCATCTGCTGGTCCCAGCACTCGAATTTTTTTCCACTCTGAACATGTTCGACTGTGACCACAAAAGCACTGTGAGGTTTGATTTTGGAGTTGAAAGTAAAATGTATGGGGTAAGTTCACAAATACAGAATTCATGAATAATGAGGATCAAATGTAATTGGATTCCATCAAACACCACTGTCTGTATATGTCCTGCTTCCTCTGCCGGGCCTTCGTGCCATTTGTCCCACTGCCTGAGACGTTGTCCACCCAATCTGAACTGCACTTTAGGAATGAGGTCGCATGCTACCACAGGTGCTCCAGGCCAGGTGGGATCGGTGTGACACACTCAGTCACGTATGAATCCCATCCACATACGCTGTGCAGGGAGGTAGGAATCAGGCTGGGACACTCCTTAGAAAAACTCAGGAAGCAATGGCGTCGCTTTCAACCTGGGGCCCTGGGGCCCTGTGATGGGCAGACGTGGAATGTCCCAAGCCCGCTGGCTCTTCCTGGGCCCTCCCAGTAGTTCCTGTGAGGTCCTAGTGAGAGGATTTGGGGCCGCGGGTGGGCTAAGGGAGCTACGGGCGCCACGGGGATCCACTGGGAAATGACCTTTTTGTGAAGACTGGAATTTTATACCTACGGATTTAAAACATATAAAAGTTATATTATGAAAGTCACGCAGATCTTTTGTGAAAGTTAGAAGAGAAAAGCCTAGCACGCATCGTCTACATGTACAATTTTACAACGGGTCAAAGCTCCCTGTTTGAAATGCTTGGGGCCAGTGTTCTGGACGTGGGTAATTCCACAGACTATTTCCTGCACCGCAGTGTTTTCACGGAGACCTGTCCTGTGAGGTTAGGTGGGACTTTCCACGTAGGGAGTCCACCTCGGTGCTCAAAAGGTTTCAGATTTCGGAATACTTTAGGGTTCACATTTTGGGGTGTTTTGGTCTATTTGATGTACTTGGTCATTCCACATGAACTGTTAGTATAATGGTTTGTTTTTGTTTTTGTTTTTGTTTTTGAGAGATTTTTGCTATAGGATGCACGTGCTTGCCAGAGAGACAGAAAGCAAGAAATCACTCCCCAGGGTGGATAGCCATGTCACAATCCCTTCTCCTCCATTCTCCTGTTAGGATTTCGGGCACTCATGCACACGCGCCCGGTGAGTTTGAAGCCATCGGGTCCAGGACTTGAACCGGAGTTGACTATGTGGAAGTCCAGCAATGTAACCATTACGTCATCTGCAGATCACTCTCAGTATGATTTTAATCATGCTGCATACGGAAGTTTGTTTTCTGCCTCCCCCCACTTAGCATGGCAGCATCGGCCTTTTCCGGGGTCTTACATAGCTCACAGTTGGATGTCAGACAGCTAAGGTGCCCTCGCCGGCTCCTTGCACTGTGGTGGGCTAACGGTTCCCCCACTGTCTAATATATATAT